CTTATACTTCTGTTCCCTACAGTTAGAGGGCTTTGATTTTCTTTTTTTTTTTTAATGTTGTATTTTATTTTTGAGAGAGAGAGGCAGACTGCAAGTCGGGAGGGGCAGAGAGTGAGGGAGAGATGGATTCGGTAGCAGGCTCCAGGCTCTGAGCTGTCAGTCAGCAAGGAGCCCAATGCGGGGCTCAAACCTACGAATTCTGAGATCATGAGTCGAACGCTCAACCCACTGAGCCACCTAGGCGCCCCTAGAGGGCTTTGATTTCAAACCACAGGGGAAGTATGATGAGCGAATAGCCGTCAAAACCATTTTGGAGAGGAACAGCCAATGGAAGGTCCAGTCAGCACCATTGCTTGTAAGCAGAAAGTTCAAGAATCAGAGGAGAATCAAGGCCTCTGAGAGTTCCTCTGGTGAAATGGAGTCCTGTAACTGTTAGTACAGACTTTATTTATTTATTTTTTCCTACGATGCAGTAGCTTACTTTTTTTTTTTTTTTAATTTATTTCTAGGAGAGAGTGAGAGACAGCGTGAGCAGGGGAGGGTCAGAGAGAGAGGGAGTCACAGACTGAAACAGGCTCCAGGCTCAGAGCAGGCAGTCAGCACAGAGCCCAAAGCGGGGCTCGAACCCACAAACAGCGAGATCAAGACCAAAGAGAAAGTCGGACGCTTAACCGACTAAGCCACCCAGGCGGCCCCGCAGTAGCTTACTTTTAAGCAGAACAGGAAAAAAAAAAATCCAGTCCCAATGCCTGGGCCCAAGCAAAGTAATCACTAAGAAAACAGCTGTTAGCACGGCTGACGCTCATTCCTGTGACTGCTTTAGTTAAGTTAAAGGGCTGGCAGGAGAGAAATTCTGGCTGTCTGAGCAAGGACGAACATCGCAGAGGTAAGTCACCAAAGACAGTAGCAGATGTCATGGAGCACAAAGCAGAAGCTAGCAGGGACTTGACCGTCTCAGAGCAAAGCAAAACAGCTGATAAATACTCAGCCAAGCCAACTGCCACTTATACAGCCGAAGAGGTTCAGGAAGCCAGAGTGGGTGTAGAAGTTTGTTATTTTTTTATTTAAAAAGTTTTTTTAATGTTTATTTTTAAGAGGGAGGGAGGGAGAGAGAGAGAGACAGAACATGAGTGGAGAACGGGCAGAGAGGGAGGGAGACTCAGAACTGAAAGAGGCTCCAAGCTCTGAGCTGTCAGCACAGAGCCCGACGCGGGGCTTGAACTCACGAACCATGATATCATGACCTGAGCTAAAGTCAGATGCTTAACAGACAGAGCCACCCAGGCGCCGCCAGAAGTTTCTTTAATTAAATAGTTCACCCTTCTCTTCATCTACAGATCTGTCAGCCTGCGTCTCTTCAAAGATCTAGGATGTTAGTTTCAGGCAACTGCTGTCCTCACAGGGTACCAACAATGCAAACGTGTAAATGTATGATTTGCCAACTATAGCTCAGACTGCTCCAGTCTCAGGGTTACAAGTGGCTCCTTGGGCTCACAGGAGCCAGGAGCTAGTGAGCCAGAGAGCCAATCGCTCAATCCCTCTTATTACAGCGATGGGTCACAGCGACCAGGACAGGCTCCGGGGTCACACGAGTGTGGGGCTGAACAGAGTCCCACCATTGCTCGCTGCGGGACGCTGCTAATTCTTTAGCCATTCTGAACCTGTGTCCCCATCTGTGAAGCAGAGATAATAGTGCTTCACTTACGGGTACTGGAAAAATTGCCTGTGACATAATGTGCAAAGAATCTGGCACACAGCACTGCACCCAGGAAGTGCTCAACGAATGTGAGCTGTCCTCCCACACCTATGACCCACAAAAGTGCTGCTGGGGATCGCCATGTGGGTCCTATAAATTTCTACAACTCATGGTCATACCTACTAGAAAGTAACTTTGTAAGGAGGATCTGCAGATAAGAACAGCTATTATGTTGTTAGGCTATATAACTTTGTCAAGTTGTGGCTATGAACATTCTCAGGCTTCCCAGATTTTTTATTAGGAGTCCATACGTTACTCAGTCAGAAAGCACTGCTTTATTCCCCACACTATTACTATTCAGTTAAAAAACCCCACTAAGCCTTTTCTCCATCTCCATCTTTTTTTTACGGGAACATAGGCTTCATAAGGTATTTCCCTAAAGCAACACTGGGGCACGTGCTGGGCTGGACACACACATAATGCCATCACTTCCGCTTTCTGTCTTTACCTCTTTGGATATAACAACAGGTGTGAAAATAACAGTGGATCCTGTAAGATTTCCCAAGAGTCAGATGCGCTCTGTTTTCTAGGGCAGGGAACGAGCTGACTTATTACAGGCTCTTTCATCATCGAAGCATCCCAGTTCTCTTGTACGCACGGTGGGTCCTGGATGACCGGGAGACCTGCAGTTGGCTGGAAGCAGAGGGCTAAGCAGGCAGCATCAGAAGCAAAAGCAACGAGAACCTGACCCCCCTCCTGCACCAGCGAGGGTCTTGGGAAAAGCGCACGTGTCTGAGCTTCAATCTCATCTATATAATGGGGATGATTATATAGATGGATGATGAGCCACATCACAGGAATGGCTCCTACGAGTTACTGCGCTATAAAAATAAGGTGCTTTGTAAACACCGGAGCTCCACACAAACAAGGAACCCCACTCACCAGACTGCTTCAGCCAGAGGACTCTGCTCCGTGCCCCCCACCTGGTCGTGGGCACACCTGAGCAGTGCCCTCACGGCCTCTCACTCCCGCACAGGATCCTTCCACTCTCCCCCTTTCCACAACTCTGGGCGCCTTTCTCAGCATCCCAAGCGCTGTAAAGAAACCATCCTTCTCTCTCCCACCCAGGGATTGAGGAACAGGCCACACGTCACACGCCCACAACGTTCTATGGAATAGACGTCAGTTTGTTTAAAATTTTATTACAGGTGGTGTGGCTGGGGGGAGGGACGAACAGGTGAAACACAGAGGAATTTTAGGGCAGTGAAGCTATTCTGTGTGGCACTAATGGTATGATGGTCACATGGCCTTCTCCATTCCCATGGAAGGTACAAGGGTGAGCCCTTGGGTAAAGTTATGGTGATAATGATGTGTCAATGTAGGTTGTAGACCATCATTTTAATAATGTACCCTCTGTGTGGTGGGTGACAGCAGAGAGGCTATGCATGTGTAGGGCTTGGGGGCGGGTATACTGGAAATCTCTGTACCTTCTGACCAAGTTTGCTGGGAACCTAAAACTATTCTAAAAAATAAAATCCATTAAAAAAAAATTGATTTCACACACACACCTACTACTGAGATGGGCTCTGACAAATATGAAAATTTAAGAAATCTAACTCTTTATTTAACATCAAAGCTAACATCAAGTGTTTATTTAAAAAAAATAATGGCACCTGCTTTGAATAGGGTGACAATCTATACAGAATTGACAATTTTAGGCTGACACAAAACTATATAGTATCTCACAAAATGGAAATTCTGCAAAAGACCTCACAATAAGCATTCCTAGTTTCCATTTTCAGAATTGCTAACTACGGCCTAAACACAGCTTAAACACAGAGCACGGTTTTTTGAAACATTTCTCTTACGACAAACACAGGAGATATGTTTTAAATAAATTAAAATTGCAACACAAATTATTCCTAAAACAATCAAGGTACATTACTTTCCAGCTTCTTAGAGACAAAGAATTGTACTGACTTTAGAAAATCATAGGTTAGTTCTGCTTTTTATCTTCTGGGTTACCAAACTCTTGTTAACTGTACCTTCTTTTAGCTTCATAACGATTTTTGATGTAAATAAGCCAATATTATTCTTTTCAGTGATTTATCTTTTCAGACCAACTCCTTCCTTTATACGTGTTACACTTCTTCAAGCATCTCTCTCCAGATAAAGCTCTGAATTTTAAATAATGCCATTTCACCCTACCCCTGGCTCACTCCTCAAAATTATAGAAATATGCAATATAGGTTGTTTAATCACACATGCTCATATTAATAAGCATACTGAAATGCTTTTGCAAACCAATACAATCATACTTAGATTCAATACAAAGATGTTCCTATTTGATGCAAAACAATTTGGTATTTAAACTCCAATCCAGAAGAACAAAAATAACTAGTTGCTTACAGGACTCCCAATTCCCATCATAGCTATTGATCCCATAATTAAACCTGATATGCTGGAGAAATGGCAGGGCAGTAAACATACCTTGTAGGGCAATATTTCAATAAAAACAAGAGTGACAAAGTAGAAGGGCTAAAATCCCATGGAATTTTAACTGACAGAGAGGGATAACTGAGTTAGGGGCTGTAATGGAAGGGGAAAGGGTGGGCAGTTTCAGATCTCAGTCTATCAACAGTTCATGGTGATCACAAAAGCAAAACCACTCATGGTACATACTAGAAACTTGGGACTGATCCTACTCTGTACAAAATCAGCAATGGAGTGCTTTTATTTATTGCTTCATTGCAGTTGGAGTTGGGGGTGGGGTGGGGTTCAGTGTTGATCATACTCAAAATGTAGGCTGAGATAACCAATCAAAACCCACATAAGAGTATTTTTAGATTTTTGTTTTGCCCTCAAACTATCATCTTGGTGGTCATGAAAATAGTATGTCACAAAAAAATCCTGTGCTAGAATGCAATGTCCAGTATCTTTTTTTTTTTTTAATTTCTATGTTTATTTTTGAGAGCGAGAGAGAAAGCATGAGTGGGGGAGGGGCAGAGACAGAGAGAGGGAGACATGGACTCCAAAGCAGGCTCCAGGCTCTGAGACGTCAGCAAAGAGCCTAATGCAGGGCTCGAACTCATGAACTGCAATATCGTGACTGGAGCCGAAGTTGGCACTTAACCAACTGAGCCACCAAGGTGCCCCTGCAATGTCCAGTATCTTAAAGCATTAAGTTTGCTGAGTGAGCAGGTGCCTGGCCGTCCCCATGACTAGTTTCATCCTTACTACCAATGAAAGGTGGGGAAAGGGATTAGCTGACTTAAATGTAAATTAAATAACCAATTCCGTGATATACCCTAGTTGGATCACTATTTTTAATTGCATAATTTATAAAATTTTATTTAATCCCTTGTGCAGGAAAGGAAATACAATGAGAGGGTTTATTACTTGAGAACAGTAAACCACAGAGGGTAAAGGTCTTCTTGGAGTGCAACAACTTATTAAAAAGCTTCATGAACTTTCAACAAGACTCTAAAATAAATATGCCAAGTATAAGTTGAGCATACACAAGTGACAACAAAGTTATCTGACATCTACCGAGAAATCAGTGGAAATACAAATTCTGTGCAAAAGAAGTCATGATCAGGTGGGATGATTCAGATCCTAGATTTTGGAGCAGAGCCAGTTTCTAGCAGCTTCTGTTAACATTAGCTCCCCCTGGAGCTCCCGTGGAGGGGGCGAGAGCGCGGCTTCCCGTTTCCCCCCTACTTCTCACAGTGGAGCGGAGACACACTGACCGCAGGCCCGGGAGACGTCAAAACAAATGGTGAGTGGAGCATGGTGGCTGGGGAAGCAGGCCCACGTCCTAGAACTTCCCCGCGGTCCTTAACCTCAAAGGGCTAGATACCTCTCTCTCTCTCTCTCAAAAATGACAGCAGTATCTACATCCGCTGCAACCTCTGGCATATCCAAAGTGCCTCAGAAAGATTCCCAGAAATGGAGAAGCGCCCACCAGGCCCCAGCTTGATCCGAGGGTGTACATTACCTCCAGCCCCCAGCCGAACGGAGACCGATGCCCACAGGTGATGGAGAATGCTGGCCATTAAAATACAGATGCAAAAGCCCACCATTCCTTCTCCCTCCCATCCCTGGACCTGGAACTCTTTTCTGTCCCCAGGGTTTGATGGATGGCAGTAGATTTACAGCCAATTTGGCAGAACAAGGGCAAGTCTGATGGTGGAAGGGGACATGGCCATGAGATGGGGGAGGGGCTGCTAACTCCCTCTTCCCTGAATCCAAAATCTGTACAGCCAAGACTGCACGAAATGATGGTTACTGTTTTTAAAAAGCTCAAGTCCAGAATTAGATAGTGGGGACAGTTGCAGAAGTTTGTGAATTTGCTAAAACCACCAAACCGTAAAGTTAAAAGAAGAAAGCTTGAGTTGTCTGAGTCTCACACACACTGGACTTGTACCAAATGCTCGACTATTCCATTCTCTCAAACCACGGCACACTGTCACATTTTTTTTCCCAGGAGATTTCCCTAAGAGCAGCTGTTCGAAAATATTGCACTTAATTTAAATCCAGGCGATCTGATGTTTTCTGGAAGAAAATGTACACTAACACACATCTTTACGCCTTCAGAGAACAGAGCGGATAGCAGGAGGAGGGACTGAAGAGCTGTTCCTATTAAAATCTTCTGACTTCGTTTTCAGTAGGTACAGAGAGAGAGATTTAAAAGGGAGTAGCTTCAGGGCTGAGGGTAGCGAGTAGCATCCCCCAAACAGGCCGAAGATGTTAACTTCTGAATGCCTTCACCTCAAGGGAAGAAGTGCGGCCCCTCCCTTTCCCCGGGCCCTTGTCTTCAGGGAGATCCTGAGAGACGACAGCCAGCCTTGGTGCTGGGCTCAGCTGGGCTCACAGGGTCCTAGGAGGACCTTCCCAGTCCCCATCCCAGTCAACTGCGCCCTTGGATCCAACTGCCACCCCGGCAGACCACACGCCTATCTCCCTCCTGCTTTCAGAGCTCCTACCTCAGTGCACTTCCGCTTCACAAACTACAATCCTGTTGTCCTTAAGGAAAAACAAAAACTCCACAACACAAGGATCATCTGTTTTCATTTGTGGAGTGAGATCTTCAACCTTCGCAGGCCAGGGAATAAAGTGAATCACATCCTCACAGGGGGTCTGTCACGACTAAGATCTGCTGAAATACCTCCAAGGTAGTGCTTACAGGACCCTAACGCTGAAGCCGCGGTCTGACGCGGGACTTGGAAACATTTCTACGTGCTTGAAGGCGAAGCATTAGACGGCTGCTTCAGATAAAATCCGCGTGTGGCTCCCTGGGTGTAAGAAGGGAAAAGCCCCACTCGTGAATCTTTGCATCTTACCATTTAAAGTGCATGACAACATCTAAGTTTGACGTCGGATGGATAAACAGGTGTGTGGTAAGATCTCCGTGGCACTTGTGTGTCACGTACAACTGACCGCTACGGACACTGGGAACACGTGGTGCCTAGTGTTCTCTGTGGACAAGTGGACTGGATTACACAGGATTTTCTGTACTTCCGAAGGCCATATGGGTTCACCGTGGCCAGTGCATGTACTCTGCTTCCCCTCCCCAAGTCCTGCTACATCCTTGCTACTAACAGGACTCTGGGAAAACATGCAACCACGAGCAACTGTGAGGTTCAACTGTGATAGAGACTTGAGAGAGAGACAGAGACTTAAAATCCCTTTTCTTCTGGATCATTCATTATGCCAAATGCTCAATAACCAGAGGCTGGCCATGCTGGGCTGGTGAGGTGGGCGGAGATCTGGCGTGATTAAGGCAGTGAGCAACGTGGGGAGAGCTCTCAGACGGATTCACACTCACGAAGAATGGGGACTGAGCCAGCAAGTGCTACCGTGTGAAGGGGACTGTCGTTATTTACAATGCACAGCCCAGGCCTGTTCACCTTTAGTCAGCACAACCCCGTTCATTTGAAAATTTGGTAGTATGCACAGAGTTCTCCTTAAAACAGAAACCTGAAAGGACATGAAGATGGGGGCCAGTGGCTTCACCGGGGTATTATTATCCTTTCTATGGCACACAGAATATGGTCCCAGTTTTTACAAAATATTGCAAGAAGAGTCACAGCGAAGAAGGTGCCAAGAATGTGGAAGCGGCTCTTCATCATGGGGGAGACAAACTTGGCCATGGTAGACACACACACGAGGATGACTGTCATGAAGGCCAGGATCACGTTTATGCACCTGCCCAGGAGCACCTTGGCATTGACGGTGTCTGTCTGCAGGGCTTGCTGCTCCTGCTGGTGGAGCTCCAGTTTAGAGATGCGAGTCTGGCAGGATTCCAAGGCTTCCTGTGGGCAAGAGGGAGAGCAAGGGTCACACGCTGTTGGGACCACGGGCGCCGCGCGAGCTGGGACGTGCCCGAAAGCCCCCTGGCTCAGGAACTCGACGCTGAGGCAGCTTCCGACAGCCAAGCTGATGATGACGAGGAGGATGATGATGACAAAGAAGGGAAACGAGAGTCGCAAGGCACATTTATTCTGTTAGTCATAGACGGAACGAACAACCGTGAATTACCGTAAATGGGGACTTAGAGTTAAGTATTTTGAAATTAAGTACATAAAATACTGGCATCTGCTGGCATCATCAGGAATAAGCCACAGGAGTGGTCGGCCAGCGAGGGACCGTCAACCACCTCCAGCCATGGACTGGGTGGTCCCTCCAACTTCTAGTCCTTATTTCCATTGCTCAGGCTGTACGTGCGTCCACTTACACACTGCGGAGGGTGAAGGAAGAAGGGATGGGGACAGGACGGACCATGGGGCTCGGCTTCCTCTCGCTCTCTGTGTGCCGTTACTCAGGCTGCACATTCTCCCCAGAACCCGTTCTTTCTAAGGCTTCAATTGCTAAGACACAGAGGACCCTGAGTATCTCTCTGGCCGAGTCGCCTCATCTGAGTTTGACTCATGTATCTACATGGCTCCTTGACATCCCCACTTGAGCTTCGCAGAAGCACCCAGAATGCACCACATGCAAATGTGGGATGGCGTGCTGCACGCTCTCCTGCACCCGCCGCCGCCGGTCCTGCTTCCCTGCTGCCGTTCCGTCCCCAGAAAACAGCGCCTGGCTCACCCCGTCCCTCCCACCACCCACTCAGTCCCTCTAAGCCATCCCCCGCCTTGTCAATGAGACATCCAGTGTCTAGCTTTAGGGGCCCACTTCTCTCCCCTCCCAGTCTCTGCCGCCCTGCCCCGCTCACCACGCTCTGGCCATGCTGGCTTTTTGAAGTCTGGAGAAGGAGCATGGTCGGGGCCTTTGTACATGCATGTCCTGTGCCTGGAAGCCCGCCCAGCCCCGTCAGAGGATGTGAAGGTCCCCCAGCCCTCCTTCCTGAACAGAAGACCAGAGCTGCACAAGGATGGGGACTAGGCCACCTGCGGTTACCCAGCACAGGGCCGGACACGCGGCAGAGTGCAGACTGGGCGCAGGAAGGAGGCGTGAGGCTCGTGAGAGGAACACTCTACGCCTCCTGGGAGAACAGGACCTGACTGGAGGCGGGACAGTGAGGCCCGTTTAGTTCCCTGGCCGACGGTCTAACTCGTTTACCAGTATGTGTCTGCTCGCTTACAATACAGCCATCTTTCAGGTTTTAAGCAACCATAACGGCTGTAACACTGATTCGCTTTTCTTCTGCTGAATATATTCTATGGGCCAAAGAACAGGGTTCTCTGTTACTATAGTAACTTCCATGACACGGGTTACCAACAGAGAAGGTAAAACTTCTTTTGATTTTTACGTTCTATAAAAGCACTGGCTTCTACAGGAGCAGGCACGTGCCCCAAGGATCATGAATTCTTTTCAACTATGAGCTCACGGTTTCCTCCTTCTTGGACGCGGCATGGAAATGCTGATAGAACAAGACAAAAAGATCAACATTTTTGGCAAATTCATTCATCTTTAATTGGGTACACGGATTACATATATAGACAGACTAATCCCAGAAATGAATTCCTTAGAACTATCAAATTTTTTACCAAAAGAAAAATCCAAGAAAACTAAGCCGTGAGTGGCAAGGAATTTTGGTGACAGCTCCCACTGAGAGACAGCCGGCCCCACGATCCCTAGTACTTCTTTGGATCCAGTGTTTAACTTACTGGGGACAAGGAGAGGAAACAGACTGAATTATCCTTAAGCCTGTTTTAACTGGGAACTCTAAAACAAAACTCAGTTTCTTAAAACAGTAAAACCCTTGCATCCCTGTGGGCACCAGCCACCCTCACCTGTGCTAGCTCGTCCGCTGTAGCACCCTGCCTGTAAGAACAAAACTAACACGAACTGGAGACGAAGCTGAGCAGGCCCGACTGCGAAAAGCCCCGAGGAAGAGGGCCACTCACGAATATAACAGAAAACGTGGCCAGCGTTTATTTTCTGACTGCCTATTATGCGTCAGGCAGATTAAGTACTTTATGTATATTATCCATTTACCTCCTGACAACCTTTTGATGTGAAGCTCACTGATGATATTCCCATTTTATAGATGAGGAAACGGAGGCCCAGGGAGCTAACTTGTCCAGGGTCACACAGTAAGTGGCAGAGCCAGAATCTCACTATGGAAACAAAGACTCTGTAGCCACCCACACAGATGTCCTCTTTGCACTTCTGGGCTGGAGACAAAAACCAGAAAATGTTCAAATGAACTACTCTATGCAGTGAAGTTCCCTCTGTGAAGCCCCTTGCTTGATCTTACCCATTCATCCCTAAAGTACGCTTCTTTAAAAAAAAAAAAAATTAACCCAAACTACGCCCTAAATAAGAAAACCATATATTTAGACATAAATCCAGTGCCATCCCAGACCCGTTCTAAAACCAGAATGTTTTAATAAAACTGACTGCACTGTTCACTCTGCAACACGTAACATTTAAATGGGTCACATTCTTTAAACCAGTCAATGGTGATGCTGAGTCTCCTGACCCAGAGCAGGGGCAAAATCTCCCAAGTGTCTCCCGCACCACATCCTCACAGGTAGGTTTCCTACCAGCTCCGTCTGATGCTCTGGCTCCCAGAAACATCCAAGCAGAAGCCTGAGATTGGCACAGACTCACAGCCCACGATACAGAGAAGAACAAAATGTGGGCAGTCGAAACTCTAGCTCACACACTGTGGGAGAAAAAAATCTCAGCTTTTTCCCTCATAAAGTGTGGCTGGAGAAAATAACCACTGCCTACAAAGAAAAGTTGTAAAAATGGAGCTGAGTGCTACTTGGAGAGTATACTTTCTTGCTTTAAAAAAAATTTTTTTGGGGGGGGTAAAGTTTATTTATTTTGAGAGAGACAGAGAGAAAGAAAAGAAGTGAGCAGGAGTGGGGGAGGGGCAGAGAGAGAGGGAGGCAGAGAATCCCAAGCAGACTCCGCACTGTCAGCACAGAGCCCCATGTGGGGCTCGAACTCACAAACTGTGAGATCATAACCTGAGCTGGAATCAAGAATTGGATGCTTAACCGACTGGGCCACCCAGGTGCCCCCACTCTTTTGCTTTTTTTAAAAAAGAAGATTACTGGGCCCAGGTGGCTCGGTTAAGCGTGCGACTCTTGATTTCAGCTCAGGTCATGATCTCACGGTTTCTGAGTTCAAGCCCCGCATCGGGCCCTGCACTGACAGTGCAGAGCCTGCTAGGGATTCTCTGTCTCCCTCTCTCTCTGTCCTTCCCTCCCTTTCTCTCTCTTTCAAAAATAAATAAACTTTTAAAAAAAGAAAGACAGGAAGATCAATAGGAATGTAAATTACTGCAGCCACTATGGAAAACAATATAGAAGTTCCTTAAAAAATGAAACCTTGAACTACCTATGATCCAGCAATTCCACTTTTGAGTATATACCCGAAGGAAATGAAATCAGTTTCTAGAAGACATGTCTCCACCCCCATATTCAGGGCAGCATTATTTACAAGAGCCAAGACACAAAACCAACCTAAGAGTCCATCAACAGATGAATAAAAAAAAACGTGGTACACATATACACGATGGAATATTATGTGGCCACAAGAAGGAAATCTTGTCACCTGTGACACATGGATGGGTTTGGAGGGCATAATGCTGAGTGTGGAGTCAGACAGAGGAAGACAAATATGCTATATGACCTCACTTACATGGGGTATCTAAAAAGCAAACAAACCCATAGAAACAAAGAACAGGTCCATAGAGGCAGGAGTGGATGGCAGGGGAAATGGGTGAAAGTGGCCAAAAGGTCCAAACTTCTGGCTGCAAGATGAGGATGTAATGTGTAACGTGGATGGCTACCGTTAACAATTCTGCATTACGGATTTGAAAGCTGTTAAGAGAGTAGGTCTTAAAAGTTCTCATCCCGAGGAAAAAATGTTAACTATATGAGGTGATGATGTTAGCTTACCGTGGTGATCATTTTCCCATATACATACGTTTATCAAATCATTACATTGTACGCTTTAGTGCAAAGTTGTATGTCAATGATCTCAGTGAAAGTAGAAGAAAAGGAAGACACCCCCCAGTAGTAGGAAAAAAAAGCAGCATTCAGGACGGCCGGGGCTGTGTCCCTACAGCGCTACCGTCACACTAACACTGAGCCGTGCCTTCATGTGACTGACTCAGCAGCCCCTTCCTTCCACCCACCCAGCTCCCACCCACCGCGCCAAGTCCCACCCTCTCTGCACATTCATTCACGTTCCCTATTCAAGGACCGTCTGTAAGACGTCACCCAAGTCACCCGACCTCTCTGCCTTAGTTTCACAGCTGAGAAATGGGGAAAATAGTAAGACTGCCCGAATGGTTGCTGTAAGGAGTAGATGGGGAGAGGAGAGAGACACGTAAAGCGCTTTGCTTGTGTATGGTACACGGTATGCACTCGGGTCCTTGAAATTCTTACAAATATCAAAGCTATTTTTATTCTACAGATGAGCAAACAGATCCAAGACTTGCTCAGGGTCACATAACTGGTGAATGGCTGACCTGGGACTGAAATCCAATACCTGACCACAAAATGACCAACTGTCCCACCAGTTCATAGCTTGTTGGGCACGGTGTCTGAATTCTGTGGTTTTCACAGTCTGGATCACGTAATTTGGCCCCCGTTCATGTTTTCTTGAGCTGTTTGGCAGGTGACCTAACCCGGACTCCCCATCTAGTCAGTAAGCTTCTCAAAGGCAAGGTTTGCCTCCTGTTTAAAAAGTTTTAGCAATTTTGGTGGGGGCGGTAGAGGGTAGGAAGGAGAGGTTATAGGCTATGGGCTTGGGTAGATTAATAAAGATTCGTTAACCAAAATAAGCACACAGAGAATAGCCTCTTCACTCAGTGACTCCTAGAACATGAGCTAACGGGGTGAAGAAGGGAGAGAATGTTTGTGCAGAGAAAACATTTTGCTGCACGTGCCAGAAATCCTTCCGGGCTTGGGGGATAAGGCTCGTTGAATGCATTAAAGGCTGGGACGAGCCCACGCGGTGCCTAACGGCGAGAGGAGCGGTACCTGGATGTCCCGGGAGCGCTCATAGGCCTGGTAAGCCACCTTCTCCTCGATGCTGGCCAGCTCCTGCTTCAGGTTGCCGGTCTCATGCTGGTGCAGGTCTGTCAGGTCGTGCAGCTGGTCTTCCAGTCGCTCGTACCTTTGCAGAGAGAGGAGCCGATTCTGAGTGTGACACTTCAGAGGTGTCCTTATTTTCATTCCCCGGAAGACTACGTTTCCAAAAAAAAATAGGTCCAGCTACAGGGAGCATGCTTTCGGCTAACACTGAACTCCAGCTGGTCTCTGTCATGTTAACTTCTGTGTCCTCACTCCTGAGGTGTCACACACACCAACGCTGGCTTTCCCGCCCGCATCAGACAAGCACCCTCACCGGCTGCGGTGACAACACAAACAGGCCTGACGCACTCACCAGGGCAGGTCTACGGGCAGGGCGGCCTGGGATCTGGCTCAACACAAGGACCTGCTGGTTCCCCCTCCCCCCCTTCTGCCTGCCCAGCGCCTCCTGGTTCACAGGCAGGGCTCTGAAGCCCCAGAGAGCCCGTAAGTAAAGAACCAACTTCTGTACCAGAGCCAAGTCCACTTCCCAAGGCACACTCCGATTCTGAAAACATGCCTCAGTTCTTAGAACTTAAGAGTCGATAAAAAATTAAGCTCATTAGAAATTATAAGGGCACAGGGTGGATCTCAGGTCACGATCTCATGGTTTGTGAGTTCAAGCCTCAGGTTGGGCTCTCTGCTCCCTGCATGGAGCCTACTTTGGATCTTCTGTCTCCCTCTTTCAGGCCCTCCCCCACTCATGCACACTCCCTCCCTCCCTCCCTCTCTCTCTCTCCCAAAAATAAACAAACTTAAAAAAACTTTTCTAAAAAAGAAATTATAAATGACTTATCAAGTGACATTTCCAAAAGTCACTTTCCAAATGGAAAGTAACAGAAGAACAAAGATTGCCATTTCCACCTCCCATTTCCCTCAAAGAAGAGGGACTGGTCTTACATTTGAAAACTTATGTTTATTTGAAAACAGGAAGCACTATTTGGGTAATGCATTGCCTGAAATGACTTCTATCAATGTCAATGTTAGATGCTCACACAGGTCACCTGATAGAATCACAGGTACCCAGTGCTGGTGTAAAAGCCTTTTAAAGATCTCATACAGCAAACAATACACTCAGCGGCTAACCCTGGGACATCACAAACTTAACTACATGACAAATGGGAAAACTATCCTAAATTTATGTAAGCGAGTATTTGTGAGTTGGGATAAAATTTGGATCTAAGGAGTACTGTATCGCAAACTATTTGTAAGGACCTGAAGTCAATATCTTCTGGAAAAACTGTGACTCAAAAACAGTTATGTGACAAAGACACCAGAGTCAAAGATGTGTGCTGAAAGTGTTAAAAAATGGTTTCATAGACTATAAGAGCTAAAAAAAAGCCACACTTACAAATTAATACATTTAGAACCATTTTGAGATATAAAGTATGTAAGGTAAAGTTTAATCTTATGATATGTACTGGACATTTAATGTTTTTTAATTTTTAAAACTTTTATTTATTTTTGAGGGAAAGAGAGACAGAATGTGACCTGGGGAGGGGCAGAGAAAAACAGACAAAGAATCTAAAGCAGGCTCTAGGCTCTGAACTGTCAGCACAGAGCCCAATGCAGGACTCGAACTTGTGAACTGCAAGATCATGACAGGAGTCGATGCTGGATGCTTAACTGACTGAGCCACCCAGGCATCCTATGGACATTTAAATTTTTATCTACATTTTTCTAAGTTAACATACTCATTTTGACCAAAAAAGCAAAAAAAACCAAAAAAAAACAAAAACAAAAAAACCTTTTGGGGTGCCTGGCTGGCTCAGTTGGTAGAGCGTGCAATTCTTGATCTCAGGGTTGTGGGTTTAAGCCCCACACTGGGGTAGAGATTACTTAAAGTAAAAATAAAATCTTAAAAAAAAAAAACAACTTTGGGTAATCTTTTTACTGGGAAATGGTAGAAAATCACTTTTTTTAAAATATTTTTATTTATCAGTTATAAGCACATAAACTCTAGCCTATAAACATCTTTCAAAATTAGCTGATATAGGGGTGCCTGGGCAGCATAGTCAGTTAGGCATTAGACTCGATCTCAGCTCAAGTCATAATCTAATGATTTGTGGGTTTGAGCCCCACACTGGGCTCTGTGCTGACGGCATGGACCCTGCTTGGGATTCTGTCTCTCTTCTCTCTGCCCCTCCCCCATCTGTGCATGCACTCTCTCAAAATAAATAAACTAAAAAAAATGAGCTAATATAAAAAAATAAAATTAGCTAATATAATCCACAAGATTTGAATTTATACTTTACTCTTACGATTTCTTTTAAAAACTACTTAAGGTGAAAAGTTTAATGAGCAAAACATAGTACATAAAAAAATGTACACTGTAAGAAAACTTTAAGATCAATGTGCCAAACATTTACCCAAGGGATACAGAAATGCTGAGGCATAGGAGCACATGTACCCCAATGTTCATAGCAGCACTCTCTACAATAGCTAAAACATGGAAAGAGCCTAAGTGTCCATCAACAGATGAATGGATCAAGAAGATGTGGTTTATCTATACCATGGAATACTACATGGCAATGAGAAACAATGAAATCTGGCCATGTGTAGCAACATGGATGGACCTTGAGGGTGTTATGCTGAGCGAAATAAGTCAGGCAGAGAAGGACAAATACCATATGTTTGCACGTATAGGAGGATTAGGAGGAACTTGACGGAGGACCAAGGGGGAGAAGAAGGGCGGAAATGGTGGGGGAAAGGGAGAGAGGCAAACCATGAGAGACTCTTGAATGCTGACAAAAACTGAGGACTGATGGATGTGGGGGGGGGGAGGGGCATGGAGAAGGACACTTGTGGGGATGAGCACTGAGTGTTATGTGGAAACTAATTTGACAACAAACTATATGTATAAAAAAAAAAAAAAAAAAAAGATCAATGTGCCAAAGAAAATCTACCTTGAACAATGCAGTGGTTCCTTTTTAAAAATATTTATTTATTATTTTTGAGAGAGACAGACAGAGAGACAGAGGGCATGCGTGTGCAGAGGAGGGGCAGAGAGAGAAGTAGACAGATGATCTAATGTGGGGCTCTGCGCTGACCAAATGCTGGGCTCAACCTCACAAACTGTAAAATGATGACCTGAGTCGAAGATGGATGCTTAGCTGACTGAGCCACCCAGGCGCCCCAAGAATGCAGTAGTTTTTTACTTAACAGTTATAGAGGAAAATAAAATACAGATTTACAAATTAGTGTAATTACTGGAACTTAAGAAGGAACTTTACATGCATGAGTTACAGACAATCTAGCAATATTTTAACAGAGTCACACAACTTTCTCTGAAGTGTTGATCTGTAAGTCACAGATTATAAAGTTTGGAGTCATAAAGTATGGAAAAAACTGATTTTAGATGTTTTTTGATCCACATCCATAATTTATGGAAAACACAACCATGAGCCTCTCTTTCAAGAAGACAATCTCTCTGTGAACTTGTCACTGAGTCTGACACCTTGTGGGTGTCCTGAAAAAATAAAATTCTTTTTGATTTGGAAAAAAAAAAAAAAAAGAAGACAATCTCTCTGCACTTAGTAAGTCATGCTTCTAGAAGAATTCCAAGAGAATGGTCTGAAATACCTGTATCGTTCCTCTTGCAGCGTCTGAGAAATAAAGCCGTACTCTCTCTTAAACTGCACCTTCAGCGCCTCGATGTCCTCGGCCAGCTGTGCCTGGGTGTCCTTGATCTCCCTCAGCTCCTCCAGGATCACGGTGAGCTTGCCCTGGCTGTCGAGCGTGCCGGGTCCGCCGGCCCCGAATGACTGGTTCCCATTGCTATCGGCGGAGCCCGACGTGCCACTCGAACACTCGTCATCGCTGCCGTACTTGGGTTTGTTCACAATGGTCGCGCTGCCCCCGTAGGCCCGGGGACTCCCCTCAGGCCTAAACTCCTCTAGGGAATTTTTTAAGTGAGCGATGTTATCGGCGCTGCCAAACTTATTCCGGATCAGGTTGGCAAACTCCCTGGACTTATTGAAGACGAACACAGGCGGAGTGAGGGACACTCCAGGCATGCCCGATTTGCCACACTCCGCGCCGTGGGGGGCAGTCCGGGACTTCGAGTGGGCATCTTTCAGGGAGTGCGACCCGTCCTTGAGGTGGTCTTTGGCAATGTCCTTCGCGCTCCTGGAGGCTCCATTCTGCTCGATCTCCTTGAGCTTCCTATGATACTGTTCTAACTTCTTTTGAAGCTGGGCGATGGAGTGTGCGGACTTCTGGTTCTTCTTCTCAAAGACCTGCTTGATGCGGCCCGCCTGCTGTTTGTCCGCGCTGTTGACCAGTTTCAGGTACTCTGCAACATTCCCGTCGCGCGACGTCTGCTCGATCTTGATCTGCTCTGTCACCTTGAGAATTTTTTGTTTCAGGCTGTCCGCACTGAGTTTGACCTTGTGGAAGTCCAGGATGCCATCTGGTACGTCAAAGTTGAGGTTGGTGTCGGACCCCCCGCGGCGAATGTTCAGGGGCAGGCTTAGGGTGTTCATGTCATGACGCTCTACCTGCAGGAGACAGGGAGGAAGCACTTGAAGATTTGAAGTCAAAGGCACAGGTACTGCGACAGAACCTGTGTACACACTGCAGACTTACTTCAGGTCCAAGATTTTTCAACTCCAAGTATTCCTACGATAAAAACTCCCTACTATCCCCTCCAGTTGAAGAGAGGCCAGCCCAACCCCTTCCTGCATCCCTGTGTACTAACCAACTGTGAGGCTCAGGTCTTCCAGGGCTTCCAATGTTTGGTTTCATGACCCAGAACTATGAGTTGCCAGGGTAGAAAATGCCTGATGGGACAAGGTTACCGCTCGGTCCTAGTTTCCCCAAATGCCCAGGTAACTGGGGTGCCTGCCATGCCCCACGCACTGCGAATTTCAACACTGTGGGAAATGCAACCGATTCAGTCCTCCATCACTTAACAGAAGAAGATTGAGGGAAAAGTTCCAGCAGGTACTTTCATCAACACAAGAAATTATTTTCTTAATGGAATCATTGAACAGATGTGATGGGTAATATGATGCAAGGTTAATTTTACTAACACCACAGTCTGTAGAGGTGGAAATAAACAACTCCAACCACAACGGAAGTGATTAAAAAACAAGAACAACAAGTGATAATACCCTGTGAAATGGCTTTCTCACTCAAGGGCCACCTGGGGAAGAAGTGCAAAGTATCACTGAGCACCCCAGCAAGAAGGGGAACAGGTTTGTGCCCTGAAAGGGAAAGCGAAAGACGAAGGGAGCCTAGGTGCCAGGTACCATGGACAGGTGTCTTGTTTGAGCCTCACTACCATACCAGGCAGACTCTGTTAAACCCATGTACGTACAAACTGAGACATCAAGAGCCAGGATCTGAATTCAAGTCACTCTAACGGGGTTCTCTTTCTAAGTCAGGACACTCTACCAAGGTGTCCCCAAAGGACTAAAGACAAGCCTTTGTAGAGTCTGAACACAACCTCCAAACAAAGATTTGTAACCTCTAAACTGAAGCATCTGACTTGTCCAGTTAACTACCTCTTGATTAGAATAATGCTTTGATACAGAGTCTCACTGGAAACCGAATGGGAGATAATATTCAGGACAAGTTATTTTTTTAAGGGGACAGTAGGCAGAAACACCAAAATATTAATAAGGTATTAACACACCTCACCTTGCCTAAGTGACCCAGACTCGAATGTGTTCATTTCCAACACTGAAGTATTAACACTCTGTCCCATGCACAATCCTACCCAATGCTTTCTCTCAGAGAAGGGAGCCCAGTGGCATAGTGGGACACAATCCCAGGCTGGTGAGTCAGTCCTCCTACACAACTTACAAAAGTTTGTTAACATTATTTCTTGGCCCCTCTCTTCCAAAACACAATTTTGCTATGAATAAGAGACACCGGGTGTTTTATCTGGCAGAAAAGCATCACATCGGAAAGGCTGGAAGTAAACAAGTGCCAAGTCACTTGTAAGACTAGAAAAGAGGAGAAAGGAATTGTGACATCACCTGGTCAAGACAGAAGGGTGGGTGTAGGGAATAAAGAAGGTATGGGATGATCATCCTCAAATCCTAGAGAAAGGACCACAGGGAGCTCCAGGGACTCTGTACCTACGGTTCACTGGTGAACCCCAGCAGGAATGTGTTCACATTACATGAACAGAGAGTGCACTAAATCTGGGAAATGTTTATTTGGGACAGAGTAATCCATGGTAACTGTATAATCAGGAGCCTATAGATTTGGTATCACTGGAGGGATTCACTGATCTGATTATCCAATTCTACCGCTCAGAAACCTTATTTGGCTCCCTAAAGCCTCCCCAATTGAATAATACAACCCAGCCACTATAAGGCCCTTACCTTTCAGGCCTCACCTTGCACCTAATGGATACCATTCATCTCAAGTGAACCTTACAACCCAAAGTTCCCAAATGTAGAGGAACGTTCTATGGATTTTCTCATATGAATGATATTCACAGTGCCTGCCACCCATTGCCTTCTGCTTGTCAAAATCCCACATATTCTAGGGGCGCCTGGGTGGCTCAATCAGTTAAGCTGCTGACTTTGTCTCACTCAGGTCATGATCTCACAGTTTGTGAGTTCGAGCCCCACGTGGGGGCTCTGCACTGATAGCTTGGAGCCTGGAGCCTGCTTTGATTCTCTGTCTCCCCCCCTCTCTCTCTGCCCCTTCCCCACTTGTGCTCTCTTGCTCTCTCAAAAATAAACTTCAAAAAAATTTTAAAAATCCCACATATTCTTGAAGCTCCACTTAAAATCCCACTTATTCCATGAAGCTTCTCCTAGTCCGTCAGAAAGCTGCCTGTTCTTTCTGCGATCCTCCGTGGTGCTCTGGTGGTGCCACCTGACTCGTCCTTGGATTACTCATCTGTGGATTTGAACCCTGCCCCCACCCCGAGCACAGGCTCCTTTAGGGGAGAGAGGTGTCATACTTACACCCAGTCTGAGGTGCTAACACTGTCCCTGATCACAGGAGGCTGTTGATAATGTTTGCTGAACTCAGATGACATCATTCCTTATTCCAGGAGAGTTGCTTTGAAATCACTTAAGATATATTTCAATAGAATAAAGACAGTGACCTTGGACGTTCTGCCCGTACAGAACTGACAGTTTCAGGCAGAGATATTTTCCCCACAGCTGGGTAGTAAGTTCTGTATCATTTCACACTGGTTCAACTACATGGAAACTTTTCTGGGACACCTGGGTGGCTCAGTCAGTTGACCGTCTGACCCTTGGTTTCGGCTCAGGTCATGATCTCGCCGTTCATGGGACTGAACCTTGAACTTGGGGTTCTCTCCTTCTGCCCTCTCTCCCACTTGTGCTCTCTCTCAAAATAAATTTTTAAAAAATATTCAAGATTTTTCTAAGAATCAACGTGCAGCAAAACAACACAAATATAAATAAAGACTTTTTTTTTTTTTTTAAAGTAGGCTCCAGGCCCAGTAAGTATGGAGCCCACGACCCTAAGATCAAGACCTGAGCTACGATCCCATATTGGATGCTTCACTGACTGAGCCACTCGGTCAAATAAGGACTTTCAAACTTTAACTGAAGTATAACTTTCATACAGAAAAGAGCACATTTAATAAGAATAAAACAATACTCAATTAACTGCCACAAACGGGACACACGGTATAACCATGACGCAGGAAACAACCACCGCCACCACCACCAACAGAACCGAGGCTCCCCGTGCCCCCTTCCATCGTAAGTACATCACCCCCACCTCTAGGAGTACCCGAGCCTCACCTCTAACAGCATGCATTAGTTGTAACCAATCACCATGCACTCTTCTTGTCTTTTTTGCTCCACTTTGTCTGGGAGACTCATAAGACCTTGTTCTTGCCTTCTGGAGCTCGAAGAACAGATTACGTTGTTTTTAAAAATCCACCCAAACCTGCCTGGTACTGAGAAGTCCACCTTGTTGGAAGATGCGGAGGCTTTTCTACCTTACCTTCCCAAACGCAGCAGTAAGTCACCTCCTGTTCCTCCTCTAATCCTCGGCCCCACGGCAGCTAGCCAGCCAAAGCGGGTGTTGCAACGCGATGGCCTCCTCCCTGACAGGCTGCTGGGCCAGGACAGCCTCGACCACTCAGGAATGTTTGCACACAGAGAGCTGGCTGACTTTTGGCTCAGTTAAAGCTATAACAATGCCTGGCACGTCCTCGACATTCCAGGTTGGGGAAAGCAACCGTCGTCGAAGCTCAGATCAATCTAGCTTACTGCTTGGCAGCAAATCTCAGTTGAAACTGATGAGGGTAGAAGGTTGAAACTATTGTTGGGCCACACCTTTTTATAGCCTTTTATAGCCCTCGCTCTGCAGAGTAATTAAGGGCAAGCTGTACATATCATCAGTAGATGCCTATACATTCTCTAAACCCAAAGTGAAACTTCAAGTATGGGCTGGGGAGAAAGCTCCATTTCATGTGGAGCCGGCCATGAGGGCAAGTGCACGGCGCAGCTGTTTGAGGGTGGGACTCAGGGCGGACAAAGGTTCACAGATCACCCGTCGTGAATGTGCACATGAACTGTGCAGATCAGGAGATGCATGTTCAGTTTCGGCACTGACATTAACTAGTTATGTTCTTAGCTAAATCAGATGATGTCTGTGGGCTTCAACTTCCTAATCTAAGAAGAGATCGAGCCAGTCACAGCTACCACTGCAAATTCCATGACATTTAATCCAAGCATCTTTACTGTGAGGCAGTATCATGGAAGAGTCAAGACTCTGGGCTCTAGACATACAGTGCTTTTGCTTTCTGTCTCGACACCGCTCTTACGAGCTGTGTGGCTTTGGGAAAATGATTAGCCTCTCTGTGCTTCAGTGTCCTCTTCTGTAAAATGGAGATCATCATTCTCAAGGAGCTGTGAGGAATGAATGAGATAATGCATTTAAAGCAAGTTGCTGGCACAGAGAATGGTTCCCAAAAAAAGTTTTGTTTTGTCCTTCCAATTTAATTTAAAAATGTACCTCTATGTAAAAACTGAAAGGAAACAAGTTCCAAACAACGGTTATTTTTGCATGGCGGGGTTAAAAGAAGTCATTCTTGTTATTATGTTTCTGTATTTTCCAATTCAAAAAAAAAAAAAAGAACAGGAGCTACCATTTTGGCAGAATAGATGCTTTTTTTAAAAATGACTACTACCGCCTTCTAGGTCTCTTGGAACGAGTTGGCTATTATTAGTTTACGTGAAAGGCAGACCACCAACATCCTAGTGAAAAGCCATCGCTAATAATGTTTTCCTTCCGGTAGCAGCAACATTTCCACTGTCACCTCAATGTTCTGGAACAAAGGCTACAGAAAAGCCTGAGCCCTGGACTAACATCAAAAACCGACACTGAGTCACCTCTGCCAACAATCCAAGCCTCCGATACAACGTAAGCAAGCTCACCTCGCTCACGGGGAAGCCAGGCGGCACAAGCGTTACCGTAGCTGCTGGAACACGCCGTTCTGGCTTCCAAAGGAGGGCTCTCGTCATGACATGTCATATTTACCCCCTAAAAGCTCCAAAGGAAAATGAACAAAAGGAAGGATAGTCAATGCAGGGGCACACCACCCAAGAGAAGCAGAAAAGGGAAAACAGTGGCAGGGGTTGGAGAAAGGTGGGGGGAGGGGGGGGGAGGGGGTCCTGTGGATGCCTGGAGGGCAACGGGCTAAGGCCTGAGTCCCTTGAGGCTCTGGGGGTCAGGGAATGGCCTGAACAAGCAGAGGCACAGAGAAATCAGAATGAGGAATGGATAACAACTGCCTGCCTAGACCCGAAGCCAGATACAATGAACCTTTTGCGTTAAGAAAAGTTGCCTGGGAAAAAAAAGAAAAGCAAAGCAAAGCTGCCTGAGCCCAGTCACACCAGGAAAGAGTCAGTCCTTCAAACTGGCTGGCATTTCATAGGCAACAGGTATTCCGCAGCGCACAGGAGGGCGCTCACAGGTCTGTGTGGCCCGGCTGACATTCCACACCCTTACTCATTGTAGCTGGAATCTAACTTCATGTCCAGAGGCAAGGCTGCTCCTGTGGCTTGCCAAGAAGAATGTGCTAGGCTCTGCTGTGGCAGCAAAGTTGAAATCTCAGTGGCAAGGGAAAGGTAAAGGGAGAGGGGAAGGGAAGGGGAAAGGGGAAGGGAAAGGCAAGGGGGAGGGAGGGGGAGGGGAAGGCAAAAGAGAGGGGGGAAGGGGAGGGAGAGGGAAAGGGAGGGGGAAGGGAAGAGGGGGGAGAGAAGGGGGAGGGGGAGGG